GATGATTTTGAATGTTAATGCATATGTAAATGTTTTTCTTGAACGTTCCTTACGTGCAAATGAAGGTCATATTGGTGTTAATGAGAGTTTAATGACCATGGTGAAAGAAATTTGGACACAAATGAATGTTTATTTTCCGTAAATGAACAGCAAAAGGTGTAATTGGAAGTAATATTTTGTTGACAGGCAGATGGACCTGTAACCGGGAGAGGGGGGGGCTTATAGGTGGGAGGGCTTACAAGCGGCAGTTAACTGTATTCGCAAAATGGCACCAAGTTAAATGGACAGAAGACATAACGAAATTTAACACCGTACAGTAAAAGAAAACTGCACAATGATAAAGATGGCAATTTCTTCGATCTGAAAATAACTGTACCATTTTGACAAGCTGCCAGTTTGTTCATGAGATTTCATAAGCTTCCTTGTTACCATAATGATATCTTTTTGAAGAGCAAAATAATTTGACACCAAAACAAATTACATTAAAACACTTCAAATTCCCAATAAAGTACAAAAATTTGCCTGAAGAAGTTAATTACACTGTTGCTCTTGTAATGGCAAAGATATCACTTTGGTGTTCATCATTGTCGGAACACATTAAATTAAAAAAAATAAAAGGCAGGAAGTAAGAAAAGGAGTGGATGTAAAACTTATGACTTTTGCACAAAATAATCTAAATTCCCCAAACTGTTCACAAGCAATTGACCCCTTGAACACAAGCCTTGTGGAACATGTCATTGCGCAAGTCGTCATTAAAAAAGGCAATTTCTTTTTAACACCCTGCATGCCTCAGCCAAAAGCTCAATTAAGAACTGTGTAAACACGGCTATAGACGCCTATCTCACTAGGCCCCTTATTGCCTATGATTGCCAAGATTTCATAATTTTACTTCCTTATTACCGAGGAACTCTAAGCCCTTGAGCAAAATTTACAGTGATGGAAGGAAATAATACAGACTTGGAACTGGTTACAAAAATAATGTAATATAATTACTAGTCAATATCATGCCAAAAACAAAACCAAGATAACAAGTTTCACATTACTGTTGGGAAGTGTCCAAATTCAGATATTACTGAAAAGGGTGTAGCTCTGTTAGCTTCTGATAACAAGTTTTTACACATCTCCTGTAAAAATTGAGACCTGAGTTTACTGCTTGTTTATTGCTGTTTCAATGCAATCAGACATACTGAGAACATAACAAATACTTGGATTGAGAAAGGAAAAAGACAAAACTCACAAATATTTCAAATCATGACAATTTATGGTCCACAACATATGAATGTGTAAAAACAGAATTACCAAGTATCAAAAGATCAAGCCAAAAATGTTCACTGATTATAACCAAATTTGGACCTTATCACTTGAAAAATTTTGAACGAAACTTTTGCAGTAACAACTTAAGTCACAACTTAACAAAAACGATTTAATACCAAAAATGATTACTAAAAACTCACAAATTAACTTCAGTTGCTGGACTATTATGTACCAAAAGACAAAGATAATTGACCAGTTGAACTTTGCCCTCAGAGAGAAACTGCACTTAAATAGAGGCCACAAAACAAGTTTTGATCAGGTTCTGCAGTTTCTAAAAGTAAACTGTGCCAACATTATTTTGAACTTTGCACAAACTTCTCAATGATCAGAAATATCCCGAAAAGCATTACACGAAATTCTCAACTGTACACTAACTTGAATAATTCTACCAAAAGTAAACAATGTTTGCATGACTGAAATATTAAACGAGCTAAAAGGTGAACGTGCATTTTAACACGAAAACTATACCAAAAGGTTGGTAACTAAAAAGTGGTAAAAACAGATAACCACAAGATTAACCACTTTACGGCAAAACAATGCAACCAGAAAAGGGTATTACAGAAAACCCGCAAGAATAAATGAACGTGCGATTTGAATAGCTGAATAGCGAATACGTGAATGGAGGTGTAAATAAGAACCGGTTACAAACTAGAACAGCCAGTTACCACGTGCCAGGAATCACACAAACTTTCTCTGCTACCGGCAAACGTGACCACCGTAAAAGATGTGGTTTAAAATCATGACTATGAACATGGAAAAATCTAAAAAAAACCGTCCCGTTGTACTTTGATGAGGTCGGAGGGGCACAGCATTTACGAATGAAACACTTGAAGCGTGCAATATAAACAAAACGTATGTAAACTGCCACATTTTCGCTATCTTTCACCGACAGTCAAAATCTACGATTGCCAAATTTTAAACTTTCTGATTTACCCTACAAAGCCGAGTATTCAACGGGACAATAGCCCCCGTATCTCGATAAATGCGTGCGTTTGTCGTGGGCAAAGTTTTGCTGACGGTGAAATCACGCGACAACGGCGATTCAGTAGTGTGTAACGAAAGCGTACTGAAATTAATGCGAACTAAACAATTTCAATTCCCCCCTTTACACAAACTTCCTGCCTTTCATTTTCAATTTTCAAACCTAAACCGATCCATCTGCAAACGCTAAATTAAGACTTCAACTTACCCCTCCTTGCATCGAAGCTCAAAACTCTTGATCGAATTTGTTGGCGTGCCGTACTTCTCAGAAACGGCGAGTTTTAGACTTTCCACTGTCACTTCTTCCAACATAATCGCATTGTAGGCTTTTTCAGTCTCTCTCCGTACATATATTGTTAACGCTGGAGGCGGCCGCCTTACCACACGTTTTGTCCTCGGAGCTAACTCGAGATCGTCAAGTGCATCTGCAGTTTTGGAAAACGCTTCAGTTGCAGTTCTCTTCCGCGCCTTCTCCCGTAAATTCCTAAACAGCGGAGTAGAGTACTTTTCCAGGTCAAATTGAGTGGGAACTCCTGCCTGCATAATCTTGACAACCATATCCATACACTGAGGACCTCTACCAGTCCAATTTCCAACTCCTCGTATCGATTTTCCTATCCACAAACGGGGATAAACGAAAGAAAAGCCGACACGACTGTTTTGCCGTCTAGTCGATGCGACTGTCACCGTACCGATTAAATTCCCCAATAAATAACCTCGAAGACGAACAATTTCACTACCTATTAACGCTTTCGAAGTGTACACGACCTTGTGAAGTTCTGACTTGAATAATACTCTTACGAAATATATTTGAATCACATCTTAGGAAGACAAAAACAAGTTACAACAACACACACTTCAAGTTCGCCTTGATAGTGATAGTCATGACAGCCTCGAAATACCAACCAGATTTGACGGGAGTTACGCTCCCCACCGGTAGCGCCTTGGGTACCTTTTATAACAAGCGTGAAAAAGTAGCAGAAGGGTTGGTAAAAATTACAATTTATTTTCTATAGCATTGGATCATATTCAAAAACATCTCGAAAAGCAAATGTTTTAATTTTAGATAAATGTAAGATGATTTGGCTCATTGAAATTTTTGTCCTTCCTACCCACCCTAGTGATTCTTTTTCGGTTGGTCAGACCGATTTAGTATCCAGTTTCTCACGGTGTGGTATTTTAACCAATCAGAAGCGTAGACGTGCATGTGATTTCACGTGCAGTACTTTCACTGCCGGCGAGTCAAAACTAATCAAGTTTTCGCCGCTTCTCGCTTCGGGGGAAACTTGTTTTTAGTCGAAGAGAGACTACCGGTTCAATGAAAAGGCAAAATACAGTTAACAGTTAGTTCTGTGGGGTATACAATTAAGTTCAATTGATGAAAGTGAATCTCTCTCAAAATATAATTTTTTTCTCGCTGTGGAAAACCAGATTTGCATCTTAATGCCGATTTAAAATTTGTTTTGCCGGACCGATCACGCTAAAACAAAGCCGGGAACAAAGCGAGTCGAAATTGAAAATTTGAATCCGCGATTTCATATCGATAAATTCTATATTCATTGGAAAAAACCCAAATCTCCTTCGGATTTTAACATGATAAAATTAATGCGAGTTTTCTGTTTAATTTTAGTACGCTGCTATTTTTAAATATTGCGAATGTATTGCCTCACTGTTCTTCCAACGAAACCCGCAACAAACCGGTTTCCCGGGGTGTATTGTTCAAAGCACAAAACATGTAGATATTATGAGCCTTGGCTTCGAAAAAAATCCGGAAAAAGCTGGACTTACTTAAGACGTTTGAAAACAAAATGCTGTATTTTCCTGTCATATTCAACACGTCGTCCGCCGGTAGCAGCAGCCGTCAAGTCGGAGGGGTAGTTGGAAAATTTTCTGGGGTATGAATTAGGTTGTGCGTGATCGTGGGCAATAGCGCATAGCATGTGGAATAGCATGCGTTGGTTGTGCAGGAATTTTGGAAATTGCCCAACCCTGCCCCCCACCCACCCCCTTCCCTCAAAAAAATAATAGTCCGTCCCCATGACTCCAGTAGACTCCCAGTATAACGCGTACTTCGGTAATCGTTTCCTGTCGGTACCTGTGGTTGTTTTGGTTATATCAGTCACCAGTGCATACATGAACAAAACATGAGACTTCTTCATCTCAAGCCAGCAGGCGTAAAACTAGGTTCAATGGGGTCTTATACCCTCAGATATAAATTTTTCTCCAAAAAAAAAACTTTTGAAACGATTTTAATTTGCTCTAATAACTCCTTGATTTAAGTTTAAATTAAGAAATCTGCACGCCGGTAGCTATATTTCAACATTGCAACACCCATACAACTGTTGTTTACAGTCAAAAAGTACTCACAAAATGGATTCAATTCAGTACATTTTTTAATGATACTTTACAGGAATCTTTAGAGATGTGTACTTATAAGAATTTTGTATCATGGTCCTGAACATGGTTTCCTCTACCATTTTATACGCTCCTTATACTTGGTTAACATTTCTATGACTTGCGTGTATTCGGGCACTCAATGTAACATTTATGTAAAACCTTTCGATATACCCCCTCCTACTACCTCCAACTCCCCCCCCNCCCCACAGACACACACGCACACACCGTTCACAGGTCTAATTTGGGCTCTCGGAGACCGAAGTAAAACTTTCTCAAAATGACCAAATAGACGGATCACCAATATCTCGCACACGATATCTCGCCGCGTTTCAACCGGACGTTGTCAAATTTTCAAGATTGGTAAAAGGCACAATTATCTAGGTCGTAAAACCTCTAAAATTTGCAATTTATGAACTCTTTTTCCTGTTATTCAGTTAATATAGTTTATATTAGTTAGCATTAGGAAATTTTTTCCCATTTTCAAGAGAGAAAGCCCCTCCGAAACCACTGTTTGTTCTGAGGCTTGTCTCCTGGACAACTTGCTTCAGTATGGACAGGATGAACTTAATTCCATGCTTCTCGAACCATTCATCAGTATGTTACCGTGTGAATACTGAACACCACTTTTTAACACTCGTTATGGGCTAGTTATTCATTAACTGTTGTGGCATGTGACCTGGAAAAGCTCATTTTTGAAGTCAGAGTGCAAAGTCCTTTAACGTGGCACCAAAACTGTACGATAGAGTTGTTTAATGAAAAAATAATATTTTTACGGTATAATTAAGAACCCCTTAAGAAGTGGGACAGGGGATGTTCCCGCCTCCCCAACCCCTTCGCGTTTACGCCTGGTCAGAACCATATCCTTGCGTGCTTTCATTGAAATGACCAGGTTACTAAAGCTCGAAGTTCAGGAGCCAAGCTAAATAAGCTCATTTAAAGATTTATTGTATTTAGGCTTGCCGTAAGTCTGAGTCAGCTTTACTCAGGAAGTAGCTTAGTGCATGTTGGAAAAGAACCTGCACTGTTCTGTTTTTGGTTTTTGTTTTTTACTTTCGGAGTAGTGGGGGGAGGGGAGGTTATCCTATAGGTGCCAACATTTAATCGCGTGACAACCATATTTAACTTAACTTAACCCTGTATTAGTATCGAACTTGGTCATTCTTCACAGTGTAAAATGGGGTTGACTAGCCTACACGACTTCTACGGTTCGTGGCATTTGTACATTTGCCGTTCTCTGTTCGGTCACTCGACTTTTTTTGTAGCTTCACTCGTGTTTATGAAGAGCAGTTCATGCTGTGTAATAAGGAGAAATTTTAAGTAGAGTTGAGCCGTTAGACCGTGCTATGGCAAATTTTTATAGCTCATAGGTCTGCATGGTTTCCGCTGTTATCTGCATATCGCTTCGTCGAGTTTGACACCCCTGTAATTTGCCATGTGTTTATGCATTGTTTAGGCTCATTTCTATTGCAAGATATACTTTTAAGTCTCCACGAATTT